GCCCGCGGTGGCGTGATAGCGAAGGGGGGAAGGTTGATGTGGTCCATGCTGTGGTTGCGGACGTAGAAGAAGGAGTTCTGCCACTTCTTGGCAGAATCCTCGAGCGGGATCTTGGGGAAGTCCGCCCCCGACCGCTTGGAGATGACGGCGGCCCCGCAGTCGGCAAACTCTTCGGCCAACGGGCCCTGCTGCTTCAAGGAGAAGAAGCGCGCCCAGAGATCAATGGTGGGATCGAACCCCAAGTACCCCTTGCACAGGGTCATGAAACCGGAGAGCTGGACGATGGTGCCGGCGTCGAGATGGTGCGGCTGGAGCCCGAAGAACTCCAAGAACCCGCGGAAGAAAGTGCTTGCCGGCAACCCAAAGCCGCGCTCAAAGTGCGTGAGGAAGACGACGCGCTCCTGCCCCTCGGGCCAGGGCCTCTGCTCGCCGTGTGGCAGACGGACGCCGACGTCCGTCTCCCGCGACAGGCGCCGCGAGGACCGAAGGTAGGTGATGTCGTCGGCGGTGACGGTCAAGCCCATCCAGGAGCCCGACGGCAGCGACATCACCAAAAGAAGAAGAGGAAGAAGGACGACGGAGAAGGTCTCTGCTCGAGGCCGCGGGCGCAGCTATGCGTCGGTGGCAAGAAGCAGAGCGAGAGCAGGGGGACAGGAGGGCGCGAGCGAGAATAATGTCCGCCGCCCCCTTGCCCCCACCCCCCAATTTATAACCCCCAGTTCAAACGTGGGGGAGTGGGACCGTTTGCACGCGCTCGTTCCACTACCCCGCAATAAGTGCGCACGTACACACGCACTAACTATGCGGGGAAGTGCAACCGGCCCCCAGACGCCGCAATAAATCCGCGCGAGTGGCCAAGGGCGCGCGGCGGCGGGGCCCGGCCCGTTGCCCAGTCCCATCACGTGCGTGGCCTGTCAGGCCCCTCCGACTTCTGGGCACCACGTGGCACCTGCGCGAAGCCCGAGGGATCGCCTCAAGATTCGATGGACTCCTCGGTTCCCGCCACGACCGGGATGCCGCGGTCCGGTTTCCGAGAAAACCGGCACACAGTGGGTGTTGCCGGACCCGGTGTTCGCAGATTCCGCCTTGCTCAAGGGGGAAGCTGCGAAGGCCCACTCATCCAAAGACGGCGGCCCTTCACAGCTTCGGGGACTACTGTCGGGGGGATGAACCCCAGGCAGGCAACGAAACCCGGATCTATTTCAAAAACAGCGGGGGCCGCATCGCCCAGCAAACCGGTGTGTGCCAGGCCGGGTCACTCGACCCGGCAAGGCGCGTAACCCGGCCAAGACCCTCGACTCGGCAAGGTACGTCGACTCGGCCGCAGTGGCCGGCGCAAGGCGACTCAACCCGGCGCAACCTTGGCTTCCCCGGCAAGCCAGCCCACCCGTGGCGTCCACGGCAACCCGACAACGGGTCAGCTCCCGTCCCATCCAGGTCGTACGATGGGACGAGACCGCAATCACCGATGACCAAGACTACAGTGCCCTTGCCCATGCCCGTAGTCAGCCAGAGCATGGCAACAGTGCCCCTTACCTACCCGCTACCGGGGCTAGCACGACAACAGTGTTCCCGCCCTCACCGCTGACGACAGCAAGCGGCGGCCTGACGGAGAACACTGTGCGCGGCTCGACTCGGCCATGCCATGACGATCGACAAGACGGCGCACAGTCCCCCTAGGCACGCGGGGCCCGCACCTAGGGGAACCCGGCGAACCACAAGCCCCCAAGCGGGACCCAGCCCGGAGTCCCGGACGCCGACAATACGGACTCACCGACTCGGCATATTACCATTGTAACCCTGGGTTGGTTGATCTATAAAACCCCCCAGGAGTCCACGCCCACAGGGGCACGATATGAGACATATGACATGTGAGATCCCCGGCACGCAAAGCCACTCAAGATAAAGCCAGCAAGATAGGACTAGCCACTACCTAGCAACACCAGGAAGAAGGAGCAGCCCGAGCCTCGGCCAGCCTCCTTCCTCCTCGATACAGCTCCAGGAGCGACATTGTACTATCGACCATCCAACTAAACTCGGCAGGACTAGGGGTGTTATCTCTCTGGAGAGCCCCGAACCTGGGTATGTCCGGCGTCCCGCGCCCGCGCATATCAACCTTGCCTCCCAAGCCCACCAGTGCCCTCGAGCCTCCTCCTCTCTTTAGCCATCCCTTGGCATCTGTCGTGCGCCCACCACGACAGTTATGATGCTTTTACCGCAGAAGCAATTGCAATCAGATTCGGCCTAAATCTTGCTCGCACAACTCGATGCAGCAAAGTTGAAGATAATTCAGATAATGTGGAGGTGATTGCAACGCTCAGAGAGGGCTATTCATCTTCGGTGGCCACTGCGATTTTTGATGATTGTTACTTCATGTCTTTAGATTTCAATCATATTGTTTATGAGCATTGTTTTAGAGAGAACAATAAGGTAGCACACGAATTAGCTAGTCTAGCTAGATTCACTCCTCCTAATGTATGGATGGATGCTGCCCCGACGGCTGTCATCCCCTTAATTGTATCAGATGCTACAATTATAGCCAATTAATAAAGGAGGTGTTTATCAAAAAAACGTGCGAACCCCTCCCTCAAGAAAACTACTGATGGCTCGAGAATTATGATGATTGTGGGGAGTTTTCATTTGGTTTTTACCAGTTTAATATCACTTCTCGATTATTTCTAACGCTAATCCTTTAAAAGAGAGATAAAAATCTATTTTTCCATTGTTTGGCAGGGAATATCTTATATGAAAGGAAACCCAAGGAGAGCTACTGCAAATAAAGATTCTGAATTTTGAAAGAGAGGTGGAGATGATTTACTCTTAGTGTTTCTGCCACCGGAAGGGGGAGAAGGCTCATGACCTAAATTTTGAAACTACCATCCCACTCGTTGTGCAAAATGGAAGGACCGCAATAGCCAGCTAACATTCGCTGGGGGCATGACCATTTGCGAATGTTTTTTACGTCAGTTTCTTCGGAAAACGCATGGAGATTTCTGGCAGACAGAAACTTTGCTTTGAAGATTGTCGTGTTCGCTTGAAGGATTTGTCATACTCCCAACACATAAATTGCCACGGAAAATGTTTGTTTTGCCATGTTCATCCAGCGAACATTAGCTGAATAACATTTTTACCCAAAAAGAAAGAAACGGCTCACGCCTCGAACGTACAACGCCGATGATGTGTGGGCCCTCCCCCTCCTCCTCAGTGCGTCGCTCAAGCCACTCAGAGTCGCATGAAAACGGCCACTTCGTGATGGACCGTATCATCCCGACCAGGTGGCACCTGCCCACCCCCAGGATGTCTCGTGGGTGGGATCGCACGGTGGAAAGGGGTGTGAGCTTGCGACGATTGTATCTAGTGAACAAAACGAAAAGAAAAGCAGCCCCAGCTGAAAAGAACCTAGGGAAAAGGCACGACTACGAGAGGAAACTAGGACTAGACATATTCACCTGGCTGGGAATTTGGGGGAATGAAAACATGGATAAGTGAGCATTCAGCACAAGCGTCCAGAACAAAGAGCACTCCCGATTTAATGATACATCAACAGCAATACAATACCACTTGTAGACGACGATGGTGCATGGCAATCATGGTTATGTGTATAAGGCAATAGTCTCTTTAGACTCAGAACCATACAAGGATGCAACAGCAATTAAGTTAAATTATATAAGAGCATGACTTCTGATGCTGCTCCTCTGATCCTGATAAAGCAAGTCACGAAGGTCAACTGCAGTAGTTAATTTTTTTTCAGAAGATGATTCCTGATGCTCGAGAAGCGATGTTGCTCCTCTGAAGTCCTGGTAAAGCAAGACACAAATTGGTTGAATGTTGCCAATATGTTATACTCCCTCCGTCCCAAAAACTTTGTAATAACTTTGTACTAAAGTTAGTACAAAGTTGAGTCACTTATTTTGGGGCAGAGGGGGTATTACATAATACTATACTACAGTATGTTGTACTACTACTGTTTGTGAAATCTGATAATGTATTACAGGGTGGTTTTTTGCACCAGGAAACCATGTGTCTGTAACATAACTACAACTGAACATTTAACATGCAAAGCCTTGTGTGTTCTTTTTGTGGTCCATATTTCTCACAATGGAGTAACTAAAATGCACAATGGGATACTTGGCACTTGCCAGTTATAGATCCTTGCATGCTCTTGTTTTTGGTTCTCTGCTATTCTGCCTAATTGCCTATCCTTTCAATTTTTTGTCAACATGTAGTATGATGCATCAATCTCTCAATTGTAAGATTAACACCCATAAACCAGGATGACCTTGTGCTGCTGGGCGACTTTTGGCTAGCTAAATGCTCATTATGCGGTCATGATGGTTTTCTCCTATGTTAATAGAACTAGATAACTGGAGTACACAAGCTGAAGATTCTGCCATTACGATGACAATTGTCCAGTGCATTGACTCGTACGATTTTCTGCTATGAAAGTTGCTACCTATTTGCACAAGCATGCACTCTGTTATGGTTCTAACCAGAGAAATTAGAAATTCAGCAACGCAACATTTTTGTATAGAGTCAATTTGGGAGTTTGTCCGCAAGATCAGCGGCTAATATGTTTTCCTCTAAATGTGATCTTTTTCTGTATGTCCTTCAAGCTGACAATGATTGTTTAGTGGTTGCACAATGCTACTACTGGTTCTACGGATTAAAGTTCATTTTTACCATCATTGGAAATATTGATTATCTTTTGGATTACAAAAATGACACACTCGTGAACACACACATTGGTATAGCAACTATATGGCATACCTTGCATGGTGGCCCACCAACTAGCGGTCGAAATGGCACAAGATATGTACAATGATGATAGCAACCCCAGTAAGTGACCAGATTTTATGTGATGACACATTCCCAGAGCTCACACGTTTCTTCCTAATCGAGCTAGTAACATTAACGGGCCGAGAACCTGTCAGAGAAGTAAAATGTTGATTAGTGACGAAGATGAAAACGAGAAGAATTAGGGTCAAGTTGTCAGAAGGAAATTAGAACTTACAATCAAAATCCATCCAACCGAAGAGCATGTTCTCCAAATCATGAACAATAATTTTATCCTTCAGTACAATATCTGCCATTAACAAGCAAATTGTTGGCTCAAAATCCCAACTTTACATTGCCAATGAATTGTTAATAATGTTGGTTAACAAATAAATCTGGAATTTCATATTAAAAATATACCGCATACGCTAAAATATACTACTCCCTCCGAGCCATATCAATTGATGCTGCTTTAGTACAACTAAGCAGCGTCAATTAATATGTCTCGGAGGGAGTGTTAATAGTTCATTCAACTGACCTCCAAGTACCGTTATTTGTTCGCCATAGTTCCTTTTCCACGCAATACAGTAAATTACTTCATCCTCCTATAAAGCATATTGTCATTAAATAAATTTGTGAAAAGAAGTTTACAAACTGTTAATTAACTACATATGCAATTATAATACAATTTCAACATCGAAAGACTTTCGGACTTACAGAACGTAAATAATTGTTTGGCTTAAGCTTCATTACAGCACCGCCCGTAAAGTGCAGTGTCAGTGTTGGAAATGATAAATCAATACTGTTTGAGAAGAAAACAGAAATGTGAAAATGATGTGTACCAAAAGATAATTAAAAGATGTTTATTTTTTTCACAGAGATGAAAAACTACTTGATAGATGTAACGAAGCACCGATCTGAATTCTTGACCAGGCGTACATGTGGAGACACTGCTGCAGTTATCTAAAAATAAGTACCATAATAATTGCGTAAGTAGGTTATATACTGCTGATTATAGCCAAGGTAATGACAAGGTACATCGCCAAACTTACCGCATTGATGAATGGGTCATAGGCACCATCTGCCAGGTACGTCAATGAAGTTCCTGAATCTGCAATGGTTACATGTTTACGTGATGGTCTAAAAAATGACGGTTCAATTGGAAGCTCTTGACTATTCACAGCGATACTCTCCAGATACAGTTGGAAAAAAATCCTGTATTTCATCAAAGAAGTTAGGGCATGAACTTTGGCAAGAGAATTACAAGAAGATTTATTGACAAGTGATAGAGCCAATATTAAGATAAATGACATATCCAGAGAAAAAAATGTCACAATAATAGCTACCTGAAAGTATGTGTTTCACTCGTGCATTTTCTCAAACAACATCAAAACACAAGACATTTTGTATTAGAAGAAGCACATCAAGATGACGCAGAGTACAGCAAGCCAGAATAAAGCTAACAAAAACAAAACAAAACTGCTGTAAAAATAAAAAACAGCTAAAGCTAGCAAACGAAAAAGCAACTAACTATGAAACAGGTACCCTAGTTCGCATAATATCGAGATGGAGTCTCTGCAGTACTGATGGTTATCCACATGTATAAGATTATCTGTACTGAATCTGATTGAACCAAGAAACTTACGGTGAAGGTAACAGTGAAGTGTAAACAATTCCCTCCTCCAAAATTTCTCCAAATACAAGGATACCGCCCCAATATGCACTCTTCAAGCATAGAGAGAAGACGCCAGGGATTAACCCCTGAGAATGCAGCTGTGAACTGAAGGACATTTGATGCGGCGCAAAGGTTAAAATGCCATCAAATTTTGCCTCTGCCAGTTCACCTGACCGTAAAGTGCTACAGCTGTTACAACAAATATTGAGAGTCAATAGCTGCTGAACCTATCCAGCTGAGAGCGTGCACTTCAGTTATCTTGAAGGAAATTAGTGGCCTATATGAAATAGGGAACAGTAAACTAACCCAAAAATAATAGTGGCGGGAGCAGACGATGTGTGTCCAACTGCATTGAGAATCTCTAAATGCGCCACGTCAGATATATAGTATCCCGTTGTGTTAGAATACACAGCAACTCCAGAACCATAGAGTACATGCCACTCGCAGGAATCACTCGATTTGCTGCACACTGCAAGGTCGGGGATCATGGCTTGACATGTCTTGTCTGAACATGATATCAGAGATGATGTAGATGATGATCTAGGGTCAAATATTCCTGGTAAGGACTGAGCAACAAATAAAACAGCAGGAATTATTTGTACTGCCAGATAGAGCATTTTGTTCTAATAGGGAAAATAGATTGGAGATAGAAGTGACTCACACTAACACTAGATCCACCTGGTGTCCGGCAAGAAACCCATGACATTATACTCGCGGTATCAATTAGCACGCTGAAATTCTTTGGCGGATTACCCAGTTGAATACGTGTCACATACGGCCTGCAAAAGTGTAAATTCAAATGTAAGAAAAAACTGTTGCAGAATCTGAACAACATAGTTTACAATTTGATATATTCACGCTGTACAAATGAAACTGCATCAACATCATGAGCTAAAGACTCGAACTGTTTGATAGTACACACTAACAAATTGATAGGGGGTTCAAGGTAAATGCAAAATTCAGAACGCATCAAAACTTGAATCAATTAATCGATGGGGTGGACAGGACACTGCTGGGGCTGTACATGAAAATTTCAGTCAGTCAACATGGGCGCTTGCACTAATCAGAAAAATAGGACATGGCGCACTAGACATCCTGATCAAAACCAAGGGTCCAGGACGAGTGGACGACGACGTCGGGCGCGCGCGGCGTGCGCTACCGGCATGGGCGAGCCGCGTGCGGGCAGCGCGGATCCAAGCTCGAAGGAGCAGGAGGGGTCAGCCGTGGGCGTGCCGCGTGCATCCACCACACCAACGGCCGGCCGGCCGGCCGGGACAGAACGAGGTTAGAAGGGGATTGGGGTATCGAGGAGGAGGTTAGAAGGGACTGCAGGCGGCCAACGCGGAGGCTGGAGCCTGGAGGCGGACAGACTCATGGACGAGGCGACTAGCTCATGGGCTGCAGGGCCTGAGCGACGAGTGTACCTGGTAAAAATTACTAGTCGTTCACTGTTGGAAGGGGGGTCGTGGCCGCAAACTCCTTTTTACCGGAGGCGGGATGTACAGCAGCCGAATCCACCCTTCACTTGCTTTATGATCTGTGCCTAAGTACGGCCCATCCATATGTATAATCATGTATTGAGACATATGCCCTTTTGTATATAGTCAAATCAATGTCAGATGTCAGGAAGAGGCAGTACTTTTTGCAGTGGATTATACGCATGCATGCAGCATCTCTCTCCTCTCTCTCAAACAAATCCATGCATTTTATTTTTGGTTATATTTTTAGATGACCAATATTTTTTACAACTTTGTACTATTATTTAAAATTTTCATATATTCAAATTCTTGAACATAAGATCTTTATAATGATACCAATCTTGAATATATTTAAACTAGTTTAACTTTTACTATTTCAATCATATCAAAATATTAATTTCACTCATTTCAAATTATAATTTTCGAAATGATTGAAATCAGTTATTGAAATGATTGAAACACTTTTCCGAATATAGTTTTCTTTGTGAGTTTCATATTCTAGCTTGTGAAATTGTTTCTTCAATGGAGTAACTGTGATGTGTTTTACTGAAACTAGTGAAATTTATCTTTTGTAATAAGTGTAATCAGTTTTTTGAAACAAGTGAAATATATTATTTCAATTGAGCGACTGTAGTGTGTTTTCTGAATGACTGAAATGAGTTATTTGAAAAAAGTGAAATATATCTTTTTGGTGTGAAACGACTTTTTCATTGTGTGATACTGATATTTCTGCTGAGTGAAATATCTTTCATTATTTTTTGATATGATACGAAGTGAAATTAGTTTCTCATATATATTTTGTATGATTGAAATCAGTTTTCTGAAACTAGTGAAATGGGTGAAATCTGTATTTTGTAAATGAGTGCAGTGTGTTTTCTGAAATAAGTGAAATAAGTTATTTGAATAAAAGTGAAATAAAACCAATTTTTGTTGTGAAACTAATTTTTCAGTGTTTGAAACTGATATTTTATGAGTGGAATATATTTCAATATATTTCTTAGATTTGCCGTGAAATTAGTATTGCAAATGAGAGTAAAGTGTTTTCTGAAATGTGTGAAATTTATTTTGAAACGAGTGAAATGATTTTTTAACTTCTATCAGCGAAACAGTCAAAAACACTTTTATGAAATAGAGGATCAATCTTATGTTTTATGAAAGCGATAAAGATAATTAAAATATAAAAATAAGAAATTAGTGAAATAGGTTTATTTAAAACATGTGAAATTGAGTATTTCAAACACGTCTAAGTTGCAGTCAAACACGTCTAAATTGAATATATTAAACTTCTATTTTACTACTATATCAAATATATCTATGTTTGTGTGAGTTTCATATTCCAGTTTGTGAAAATGAGCGAAACACTAGAAAAAACTTTTATGAAATAGTGAAACATATAAAATAAAATATATTTAAAAATATCCAAAATTGATCTTGTTCTGTAGATCTTGTCACCATAAATTTAAATATACAAAAAGTTTCAATAATGGACATTTGGTTCAAACGATATAAGTCATTGAAAATATGAGGATGAAAATAAAATGCATGTGAGTGAATGCATGCATGCACCATTGTCTCTACTTTAACTCTTTCTTCTCTGTAAAAGCTGACAATATCTGACACTAATACATGTATTGTTATGTGTAGTCTGATATCTGAAAATAGAGTATAAAACCTGCACTGATCTTGATGAAAACGACGAAGGATGGATCAAGCAGCGGTACATCCCGGCTCCGGTAAAAAAACTTAGTCGGGGTCGTGGCTACATTGCCAAGAACACAGAGAGGGAGAAAATTTCTCAAAAAGAAAAAAAAACAGAGAGAGAACATTTACTGCCATGGCTAAAGATACACGGCTCGTCCACCTCCCCCGCTGCTGCCTCCCTCACCTCTGCGGCAGCCGTATCCTCAGTCACCTCGCCTGCCCTCTCTCCACGCACCCGCCTCTCGGCACCCCATCGGCCACCGTCGTCGGCCCCCCTCCTTCCCGCCCTCAGGTTCACGAGGCGCGCTGGTGCAAATTGCTCGATGCGCGTATAGAGACGTGGAGAGAGTTAAAGCCAAAACAAACCTGCTCCAGCATTTTGCTTAAACCCATTTTTTTTAGCAACTCTCCCAATAATCCAATCCACCGTGGCACGAGCCAACTGCCTGGGATTTCACGGCCCGGCACATCACTGCCACGACCGGCCCAAGTCCATGTCGACGACCGCCGCGGCGCCACCCCGCTGGTGGCCAGCTGCAACCGCACCGGTGCATCGCCGATAGCCACGTCGCCTCCCCTTTCCCTTGGGCGTCCTTCCCCTTCCCAAGCTGGTCATCGGCGATTGCCGCACCTTCACCGAGACCACGCCGTCGGCACCACAGCGTGTCGCACCACCACATTGTCGTGGCACTACCGCCGCCTCCATGCACCACCACGCCATCGGCTTCCTCAACGCATCATCAGGCAGCAGCTAGCCGACTGTCGCGCTTGTTCTGTGCCTCACCGTGCCGACGGTCATCGGAGCTCTGCTGGCATCTTGCGAGAGAAAGAGAGAGAGTGTAGCCACAGACGGGTGGGGGCACAAATGCATGCTATAGGTGGGGTTGTATTGAGAATCTGCTACATAAGCACACCCGCGAAAGCCCAAAAAAATTATTGGGAGAGCCCCTAAACGCACATATAGGGGGACATTTCTGAGGGAACTGCCAGAGATTCTATTAGGCTGGTCATAGTGGGGAGTAACTTAGACTAGTAACATACATATGTTACTAGTCTATGTTACTACCTTCATAGTGGGTAGTGTCATAGGTGTGGTAACATAGTTGCCTTCATTTATTACTTTATAGACTCATTATGCATTGGAAACCGCTATGTGATGGTAACATATTATGTTACTCTATTTGCTTCTCTCCTCATTAACTACTTGCCACATCATCATTTTTGCTTATGTGGCATCTATGTTACTACCTATGTTACTCCCACTATGACCAGCCTTAGACGGGAGGAGGCTGGCGAGTTGGACGAGTGGAGCCAAACCGGAGGACGAACCGGGCATGCGGTCCAGTGGCCGGAGAAACCGGCTATGGAGGAAAACCCGTCGTGGCGCACAAGCAGATGGGACCAACATGAAATAAAGCATTTTTTAAAAGGGTAATAATATGGCACATGTTTGCTTAGAATAGAGTAAAATGGATAAAAAAAACCTCTTAAAATATGTAATTCCTGTCAAAAGTGACAAAAGAGGGTAGAAAATAGAATTGGTTTAAAAAAGAATGAGTGACATACTCATATTTCCATTTGTTTTGTTTATCATATACTCCATCCGTTCGAAAAGACTTGTCTCAAGCTTGTCCTTCAAATGGATGTATCTAGCACTAACTTGTGCTAAATACATCCATTTGAGGGACAAGTTTTTTCGGACGGAGGGTGTATGTATATACCATTTGTTACGTACATCATCTCAGAGATAATCAAGCCGCGTCTATTCAGAGGGAAGACTTGATGTGTGACTGTTCTTTTCCTAACAACGACTGCTTTTTGAGACACGTACGCTCCTTGCCAGGTTGCCTATTCAGTGAAACTTGAGATGCCTTTTTTGCCTGTATAATTATCTCAGAAATAGGTTTTCTTTTCCTTTTCTGTTTTTAGAAATAGGTTTTCGTCATGTTTTTTCATATAAAACACTAGTCATAATTCATACATCATGCAAACACAAGTTCGAATGAAAGAAACAAGAACTACTCCCTGGTTGCCGCCGTCGGCTCCGATCCTCCCTACGTGTTTCGACGAGCGCGAATCTACGCCACAATGATCTCGCCGATGCAGGCGAGGAACCCCATGGTGACCACGAAACCGATGGTGCCCGCCACACCGCTAACAAACCCCTGAAAAAAGCCCCACTCGTACGGCCCCATGGCTAGCTTAGTGCGCGTGGTTTGAAAGAGGCCGGAGCGGAGGAGGTAGAGATGACCTGACGAGTGGAGAGAGACTGGAGAGTCTGATGGATGGAGAGTTGAACTTGAACAAGACCAGGCCAGGGTGGAACAGTATAAAGACGAGCGGGCTCTCTCTCACACACCCACACTCACGCGGGAGCTCCCGTCCATGGTTGTGCACGCAGGCATGTCCGCATGCACTTGAGCCCTTCCCAAATGAGGATCACTCGGCCAGCTTGCATGTGCAAGCAGGCTGGCTACTTTGGCACCGATAAGGTAACCTGCATTCACGCGACAGCACATGTGGTCGATCGATCGAATGCCACGGCCTGGTCTGCTCGATCGGGATAGGCCGGCCGGGGCGTCATTTCCTGCAGACGCACACATGTAGCAGCATGGCGATGCACCGGCGCCCTCTGGTACGAAAGGAAAGGAAACCAGTGCATGCATGCAAGCACGGGTGACATCAATCGATCATCTATGTCACCGACAAAGCTAACTGGGGTCGATTAACAGAAAGATTTTGTCCAACAATTGACAGAAAATCAAACGTACGCACGACTTCATTAGTTAACGACTTGAACCTGCTTACCTGCTAGGATCGATCCATGCCCATCTTACAATAAGCACTAATCATAAGCTTTGGCAGCGACACCATAAGTCCTCAACAACATGCATGTAGACACAACAAAAGTTTAAACTCGAATCCACCTCTCTAGAACTCGCACCACACAAACGCCATAGAACGCACGAAACACAAACTACACATGCATGCAACTATAGCCAGCTTGCAAGGATGTCCACGGTCCTCTGCAGTGGCGGATCCAAGATTGGAGCAAGCCCCGGACCCAAAAATATATATTTTGTCGCGAGAGAAAAACTTAAAATCCATCAAGCTACAGCTACCTCAAATATGGCTCAATTGCACCAAGTATTTAGAATTTAAACTCAATGCTTAAAGATACAACAAAATAGATAAAAAGATGACAAGAACTACAAACAGTACGTGCAGTAAAAATAGTACCAAATCAATTGTTTGCTTCATCGGTGTCTTCCATAACTTGATCAATGGTGGAAGAAGAGCCAACACCTTAAGAGAAATCAGAAGCAAAATTTCATGAGAGAAGATATAAACATGAAGTGAAACAATTATCATTGTACAAAATTGAAAACTTACTACTACGACGAGGTAAAGTTCCTTTGCGAAATCTATAGTCTTGAAAGTGATATATAATAGCATCATCATCAACCTTTGCAAATATTTCTCGCTCAATATTGCACACCATGGAATAATTCAACCAATCATCACCCATCTTATTCCTCAACTCAGTCTTGATAATACTCATAGCTGCTTTTAGACATATAATGCATACAGATTTTCATCTAGTATCAACCTTTGCAACCCACGAAATTGTCCTCTCATGTTAGAAGCTCCATCGTACCCTTGCCCTCTCAATTTAGACATAGACAAGCCATGTTTAAGAAACATACCATCCAAAGCTGCTTTTCGAGAAGCTGCCCTTGTGTCACCAACATGCTTAATCCCAATGAACCTCTCAATCGCATACCCATGTTTATCGACATACCTACATAACAAAAAGAAGCACGAGAAACGAACAATTAGATACTACAGTAATACTATTAGTAAGGAACAAAACAACAATTAGATACAAAGTTACTAACCTTAAGACCATAGCCATTTGCTCCTTTATTGATGCATCTCTGGACTCATCAACAAGTAAAGAAAAATTTCTATCTCCAATGTCATCAATAATTACTTTGGTGGTCTCTTCTGCACAAGCTTGACACAGTTGCAATTGTATCCCATGTGAAGTCATCAAATGGTTCCCGCCCGCACTATCAAGCAAAGTCTTAGCATTTGAGTCCTTCTCCCTGTACCAACTCATCATCTCCAAAAAATTCCTCCTATTCTTTGAGCTCGAGCTCTCATCATGACCACGAAAAGCAAGAGCTTTTAATAGAAGAAATCTGATAACACCCAAAATAATGACAAGTCGAGCTCTATATTCTTCTTCACTCTTTTTGGTGCCACGATCGAGCACATTTACCATGGATTGCCTTTGATTTTTGAATGCCACATATTGTTATCTAGCTCTATTGTGAGCACTATCATGTTTACCAACATGTGTATCAATAATACTAAGTCCATCCTTCCAATTTTTAAACCCTACTGTTGTGAATGCCTCAACACCATAGTTTTCTGCTCTAGGTTGCTTAAAAAGAAAGCAATAGAAACAAAAGGCCGCCTCCTTAGCAACACTATATTCCAACCAATCGGAATGCTTCCCAAACCATTTAGCTTGAAAGGATCTCTTTTTTAAAGATGTTCCTCTAGTTTCTTTTTTAAATTTATGCCCAGTTGGTTGGCATGGACCCATATTTACATACATCCTTCTAGCGACATCTCTAATGTTTGGATCTAAGCTTTCAATAGGTTTCCTAAGACCAGGATCAGGTTGAATATCACCTTCTCTCAGTTGACCACGAGCAGAATCTGGAATATTATTTTCTCGAGTTGAGATTGAAGGCGGGTTGTTTGAAGTCAAAGGCGGTGGTCCCATTTCTGCATTGGTTTCATTTTCTGGAGTTGCTTCACTCCTCTCAGCCCCTTCATTTCCTCCGGCTAAAACCCCGGGTGTAGACACTTCTGTTGCTGCCACGGATGAAAATACCTCTTCATCTTTTATTCTACAAAATGAAATGAAATTCATATTCAGTTCATCAGTTGGTATTAACACTTTAACAGTAGCAACAGGCGAACATCAACATTCACAAAGAACCGGCTATGAAATTGATATTAATAGTAGCATTGTAGCAACAACATTCAGTTTCACATTCAAATACAGCAAGCAGCAGCATATCAAAAATGTTCAAAAAAAATTATCAACATTCAACAGCAGCCATTACCAATCCAGCAGACCAGGAGCCAGGAGAGGCCGGAGCCCTGGCCGGAGCAGAGCGGGCGAGCCGGGCAGCCGGCGAGCAGTGGAGCAGCAACACTGCAGCAGGGCCAGCAAGGCAGCAAGGGGCCGAGCGCGAGCAGCAAGCCGCCAGGCGCCAGCGGGGAACGGCCGGACAGGCGATGGGGTGAGGCGTGAGCGGCAGTCGGCGAAGGTCGGGGGGCGCGGGTGTTGGGAACGCAGTAATTTCAAAAAAATTCCTACGCACACACAAGATCATGGTGATGCATAGCAACGAGAGAGGAGAGTGTGTCCACGTACCCTTGTAGACCGAAAGCGGAAGCATTATGACAACGCGGTTGATGTAGTCGTACGTCTTCACGATCCGACCGATCCAAGCACCGAACGTACGGCACCTCCGTGTTCTGCACACGTTCAGCTCGATGACGTTCCCCGGACTCCGATCCAGCAGGGTGTCGGGGATGAGTTCCGTCAGCACGACGGCGTGGTGACGATGATGATGTTCTACCGGCGCAGGGCTTCACCTAAACTCCGCGATGATATGACCGAGGTGGAATATGATG